ATAATTTTTTAAAAATTGTGTGTATATATATAATGTATACAGCATTCATTTTTTTTTATAAAAATGTTTGCAAGGTCTATTAAGTTTATGACTAGCTCTGGTTTGACGATATGAATAAAAAATTTGTTTTATTTTGATTAGTCAAGGTTTAGCTAAAATCTTTGTTAATTTCACAAATCTTATATAGGATTAATCAGACTTGATTTAAATAAACTCTTACTACTTTATAATAATGTTACATATTAAATATCATGAGGATTACTACCTAGACTAATATATTCCTCATATACCTACTAACAAATTGTTTTCAGTTTACGAAAAAACAACATACAAACACAGATAAGATAAAACTTATCTGTGATACAAACATATCACTAAACGCATCCACCAGCTAATCCAAACTGACTGTAAACTATGTATTAATGACATTCTATTTATTGTTACATGATAATTGTATTTAATACATTAGTATATAACCGATTCGTTATGATTATTGTTAAATTTGGAACTTTAGTGATGTATGGAGTAAAATTTGATTTTCAGTAAAAAGACTTAATTTATACTTACAGATGCATAAGAAATCATTTGACATGAAAATATAACATTCTTCACGTCATTCGAGAACAAATTAAAAATTACTATACCTACTTATACAAAGTTTGATTTATTTAGGTTAGGAGCATATATAAACAAATTCTAATTAATATTGAAAAATTAAGATAATACTTCATAGATTCTGTGATATCACTTGATTTAATTATTTCTATACTAAACATGTGTTGGACAAAAATATCGATAGTTTGATAAGAAATCTATTGAATTTCTTTAAAGAACATTGATACCGATGTTGATTTTTTATGAAATAATATGTAGTGAAATAAAATTAAGTTTAGGAACAATTTTTTTTTTAATTGTATTTTTATATATGGTAATAGTGAAATACCTCTTAAATTACAAAAATAAAATAATTTAATTATATCGTTGCTTATCATTAAAATGATAATACTATTTAACAATTTTATCAGTAAATTTACTTATTTCTAAAAATATATATATATATTAAATAAATATATAAATGATTGAAAACCAATTAATTTAAAGGTATGATGTACTTAATAATTTGTAATTATGAAATCGTGTGAAACTAAAGTAGATGAATTAAAAAACAAATAACTGAAATACTAGTTTCTTAAGATAATTATTAATAATCAATACTTATCGTTTAAACTGATATAAGAAATTACTGGTTTTTGCTTATGGTTTTTTTTTTAATTTTTATCAACTGTTTTTGTAACTAGCAAAGTCGCAAATAATAAAAAATAAATAAATTGTAATAATTATATGTGAGAAAAATAAATAAATGAAATAATTTCATATAAATTATTAGAAAGTATATTAAAAATGTAATAAAAGTTTACTTAATGTTTGACAACATTGAATGAATTATTTTTATAATAATTTAAACTGTTTGTGTTGCTTAAAATGTTTATAATTTTAATTGTATTACACCCTACTGTACTTAAAAATAACTCAAGATAAATAAGGGCTCTTAAATAAAAGTTTTGAGGGTTCTAAATTAATCTTGCCCCCACCTAAAAATAATTTTTATATTTATATATATANTAAAAGTACTAAATCCAATATCACAAAAATTAATTTCTTTGTAATAAATTTATACTAATAAACATTTTTTTTAGAAGATTAAAATTGAATTATTTATTATTATTTTATTAATGAAAACCCATATAATACACATTTTATGTATCCACTTTAATTTTATAATAATAGATTGTAAATTTTTATTAAAATTTTTTTAGTAGTCAGTAAAATATTGTATCATAATTATTTACCACTATAACAAGATTATCAATATTTTCATTCAATATTATTTGTAAACTTCTGTATTATTTACTATGTTGTACAATTAATACTACATACTTAATACTTTACTCGGTGTACTATGTAATAACTAATATAAATTATATACTTAATATTATATACACTACTCTTAATGTAGTATTCTATACAATATATTATTCATATTATATACTTTTTATAATGTACGAATATATTTGGTTGGAACTAGCATTTCTAATACCAAGATAAAAATTAATAATACAGATTCAAAATATGCCCATAACGAATATGAGTTGCAAGGAAAAATCTCCATTTGTATATCTCTACTTTTATTTTTGGTATAATAAAATAAATAATTTTTTTTATCTACTACGAATTATTAAAAATTGTACAATAACTAATAAATAAGAAATAATTATTGGTAAGTTAATTGAATTATGTACGTAAATTTTGTGTTTTTGGTACATAAGATGTTTCCAATCGTTCAAAATGATTTTAGTGTTTTAGTCTTCAAGAAAAATTATACTTAACATGAAATATGAAGCGCAGTTAACCTAAAACCTTCGTCCATTGAGTCACAATATGCATCTCAGAAAAGTATGACTAATTGCCATAATCAAGATTCCAAAGTTCATAAGCCATTTGAAATACTAAATTAGTAATTACTATTTATGTAAAATGACTAAAAAATAACAAAAAAATAATAACCAAGTAAGTTTTATTGTGTTTGTAGTAAATATACAAAAACAATTTATATACGATTATTATGATATCGATTTTTTAATTTTTAGCGCAATATTAAATTTAAACATAATAAATGTATAACTTATATAATAAGATATTAAAATAAATATAAGGTTTTTAATATTATTGAGTTTTAATTCTATTAAATAATAGTTGAGCCACGGTAGTTAAAAAAGATGGTAAAATGCGTTTGGGATTTTTTCCAAATTATCATAATGTAAATGCTAATGATATAATTGTGTCATTCACGTGTAATTTTAAATAGTATTTTTGTTTTTATCATTTTTGTAAATCTGAAAAATTTTTCTCAGGACATTTTTGCAAAGACCAGACCCAGGTCATTTTAAAATGATTATCTAGGATAATTCAACGACATTTTCTTGGACATCGATCGCTTTGATTTTACACATATTTTATCACAATATCGAAAATAATTCGGTATGAAATATACTAATATTCATATACCCAATAAATCGATTATCGATATTTTAGATAATTATAAAAATTTTATTACACAATTATTAAATTAATTATAAAAATGTTAACAACATAAGATAACTTTATATTTATGAATGAGTTTAATGGGGAATTGTACATAACTTTATGTCTAACAAAAATAAAAAATTAATAACACAAAATATCATCCGCAAAAATTAATTCTTTATATATATAGAAGATATCAAAAATATATCATAGGTATCAATCGTCAATTTAGAGATTGCCACACCTTCACTTTTTGGTTATATATATATATACGGGCTTATTCATTTATCATGTACAACTTAATTAATCGAAAAGTAAGAATAATATTCATGACTTTTTTATTGCTTTTTATTTAGTTCAATCTTATCTTTTAATTCGTGAAGTATTTTTTTAATTCAACGCATATAAAGGGATGCAAATTGACATTCTTCAACGTATCACCTTAAATTTTTCAAATGACAACACACATGACTAGTCTATTTATTAGATACAGATCTAATTCAGAAAATGAATGGTCGTTAATAACTTTTGAACTAGTATTTCGGAAATGATTAACATGTTTATACTTAGGAAGAGTATGACCGGGAAATGTCTAGTTATAAAAATGACAGTACTCAGTCTTCACTTTAAATTATTAATAATTTCCGAGAATCAACAATTTTAAGTGAAGATGAGTACTTTATTTTTATAACGACCTTTCCCGGTCATACTCTTCCTAAGCATGTTAATCATTTCCGAAATACTAGTTCAAAAGTTATTAACGACCATTCATTTTCTGAATTAGGTCTGTATCTAATAAATAGACTAGTCATTATATGTGTTGTCATTTGAAAAATTCATAATGGATGAACCATAAAAAATACTATATGAATAAAAAATTGAGATAAAAAAGCTAATAAAAAAGTTATGAATATAATTATTATTTTTTAATTAATTAAGTGTTATGTGAAGCTCTCTGTTTATATAAATACATAACCCCTCCCCTTAATGCAAGATGAATCCGTATCTAATAGGTACAATCCAATTCTATTGTTAAAATTATCCAACCCGCGTTGTTATCCAAGGTTATAAAAAAACAATAACGAACGTTTATAAGTATAAGGTTAACTATCTCCAATGGCGCAAACTACTATACTTATGTATTGCAGTTCAAATACAATTTATATTATAGACAATGTTGGCGCCAATTACTCTAAACTTAATAGTCAATAAATTCAAGAACTCGCATAATGTTAATTGTCAATATAGATTATTTAGAATTAACATGACATTGCCATAGATAATTTTGGTCTATGTAAAATTTAAATTAAACTTGAAATTCTATTTTTGGCAATCTCATTCATATTGATTTCGAAATTTCACCTAAAAATATGCCAATAACGTTTGATGATTACTGTCGATTCCTATGATTTTTAATTTTAAGACAGTCAATAATTCTTACTAGCTTCCTTTAAGGATTATATTTTCAATTTTAATTAAGGTTTAGTTAAAATAATTGAAAAATATACGAACCGTCATAGAGATAAAAATCATTTAAATTATCACATTCAGACCATATGTATATCTTTTATCATAAACACGACAATCCATGATTGATGGATAACCTTTTATTATTATTTTCATAATATTTTTAAAATTATTAATGTATTCAATGTTAAGCGTCTTTAAGTTTTCTAGGCAATGTTTATTTTTGAAATAGTGTTTCCAAAACGAGCGTATGATATTTGGATTTTGTTGTTTATTATTATATTAAGCTGTAAAATGGGAGGGGTCACTCGGATGGAAACGTTTTGCAAGCACCACACTTATCTGAAGTGAAAGGATGAATAAATGAGATAGAGCCCCGGGAGGGATAAGCACACTTTTTTCCTGTGACAAGGTTGTTCAATGGATGGCTACTAATATTGTCTAGTAGTAGCCATACCGCTCCAGTTTGTCGCGTGCCGTCAACGCCAGTGGTTAAAATGGTACCGAACGTCTTATCAGTTACGGCCACGGCAAACTTCACCTTAATAACACTGTCGTCAATTTATTATTTAAAGTAAAATCAGAATGAAAATCAATAGCTTTTGATAGAGTAGTGATTATATTCTGTGAATGGACCACAAATTTACATAGTGACGGCGTTGCAGTCAAGTACGACTGACACTGGAGTATTTCCAGCTAACGTCTATTAATCGAAACGAGCGACCGGCACACTGTTTATTATTTTCAATGCGAGTGATCATGTTCGATAATAGTTTATCCAGTCGGTTTTTGCAAAGTTCGTTGTTCTTGTGGATGCTTTCTGCAGGCATTTCTTTTGCGGATCGCAGTACTTCATCGTTTGTAGATGCTCGAAGACAGTTATGGCGGTCAATAGAAGCGGCGTCAATGACCGGTGGCGATCGTACGCAGATGGGTCACCGTAGTCGTCAGTGGAGAGCCAAAGCAAAGCCCGGAAGATTCGTTAATGACCACATGTTGGCACGAAGACAATGGAATTACTTGTCCTCAACGAAGAGTCCATCAATTGTGGGCCACTGGAAAGAATTAGCAAAAAAACTCGAATTAAATACCATGTGGCCAGGTACAGGAAGATTTGCAAACGAGTCTTTCTTATTAAATACTACGGTAAGCATTTAAACAGTGCAGTTTAAAAGTGCCAATTAAGAATTTAGATTTCTTTTAATGTATCACTTAAATACCTCATAGGTATTCCAGTACGTATTACCTACACTCTAAATGAACCATATTAAGAGGGAATGTTTAGTTTAAACTTCTATAAATAAATATGTAACGAAAGAGTAGCTTTCGTTAAAAAAATTAATACTTGGGCTCAATGGCTATGTAATAAGTATCATTTAATATTATTTTAACATTAATAATGGTTTATTTAATAATACTTGATTATTAACAAATACAGCGAAAAAATATTTTTAGCAGTATTACATTTTTCGAAGAATTATAAATTTTATAAAAGTAAGAAATATTAAAACTTTTATTTATTTAATTGGAGATGTAAAATACTTGTAATTATTAAATAAAAAAAATGATTTAGTTATAAATCAGTTATATGACTATTCACGAAAAACCTCAATGTCTCAAAGAGACAACCTTCTTATTTTTCTTTTATTTATTTAAATGTATTATTTGTTGAAAGTTGCAGTGTTGCGATTTGTTTTTCGTTAGTGTCTGTATACATTTATATAAATATTAATGTACTTGTGTTGTATTACAATATGGGAACCGAAGTATAGATATTCAATGTTATATAAATAATTTAACAAGCAAACAACAGGGTTCTTCTAGGACATTTGATGTTTGTCAGCCCTTTTTGTTGTGTGAGACCATAGCCATTGTTGAACAACTTGCAGAGAAGCAGTTGAATAGTTAATGAAGTCGAGGCTAGTTCGACTTACCACTGAATCTTTTCTAAAGCTTATGTATGTGTGAAATTGTTATTTATTGTAACAAAAGTATAAAGTGTATAGCATGTACTACCCTGGACTGGTAACAGTAGAATTTAAAATATCAATAAATTAATTAACTTAGAATAGTCTTTTTTATTTTAATAAGAAATTATATTATTTCATAAACCAGTAGTATATTTAAAAAAAAAAAACCTCCCCTTGACATGTTTGTTACGTATTTTTTTAAAATATGTTAACAGTCTCCTTGACATAAAATTATAATTTTAATAATTTATTCTTAACCATTTTTATACATTAACATATCTAATACAAATCCCTGAAAAATTCTCATTATCGTTAAAAATAACATTATAAGAGACGTATTTATATTTAGTAAATCTTTCAACACATCATTCAATTGGAAAACTTGACTTACGCAATGCTAACTTCTTATCCTGTTCGAAATGGCTTAAATCATTTTGTAAATAACTATATCCCTGAAAAATAAAAAATATGAAATATTTCATGAACGTAAAATATTGAATTTTTTAAAAGTTTATAATTAAAACAATCGAATGATTGCAATTTATAGTTTTCAACTAGTTTAGTTAGTAAATCATTGACCCTTTACATCATAACCCTGTAGTTGTCACGATTACTACTAGAAGCTTTCACTTTCTTCAATCTTCATGATATCGTCTTTTTGTGGTTATTGATTATCATAATAGCACATCTATTGTACCATTGTTGCGTTTCTATAGATTTTCGTGACCTCTTGATAAGAATGGTGTACTTATAGAATCAATGAAAAACAATTTATAGTATTGATGTTTGACTAATGTAACAACGTGTAATAATATACAATCAACACTCCTGAGATTTATCGATATCTATTTTTTACTTTTGCCCGTGTAATATCACATTGAGGAGCTAAAGTTGGTTGACTATCTCTATCGTGCCCGTGTATCATAAAATTACAATAAAAATGGTTTTACACAGTAAAATACCTTTTACCCGTTGGTCATTATCGTTGGGCTACCTTGACATCGCGTCTACACAGTACTACTGTATTATAAAATGAACCATAACACACTTAAGGAAACGCGTGTCAGAAAACGCATGTGTACAATAATATAATAATAATTTAAGTTATTATTGCGGGAACGATAATCAACATACGAAATTACTCGTGGGTCTATTTTGTGTTACTCAATACTAACTTAAGGCCGTCGTGTGAACATTTTTAAGTTAAATTATTATAATTTATCAGCTCACTATAATTTGTAGTCTAAGAGTAAGCCAAGTATGTTTTTAAAAGCCTGTTGGTTGATAAAAAATGATTTGGTTCGGAAAATCAAAAAGGCTATACGTGCAGGTCAATGAAAGAACATTGAAAATAATTGTGGTTATATAGTTTATTATTAAAACTAATCGAAGTAATAAAACATTATACCCTTGGTTTTAACGAATAATTTTTAAATTCACAATGTTAATTAAAATTTTAATTATTTTACTTTAATAACATAAAATAATCGTTCATTAATTTTTAATGTGACATCTCTCTGATTTTTTATAATAAAAAAAAAAGGATAAATATTTTTACTATGAGTTTTCCATATTTTCTTCTGAGATCACTGAAAATTAAATTGAGCCTTGTTAATTATTAGTATTTACTATGAACACATATTATAAAGTATATTTTTAAATAAAAATGCATCGGCTTAGTTTTGTACAATTCAGAAATGAACCCTCTTATTCAGATTTCTTTCGAAATATTCCTTTGTGCCAATCACAACCATAAACGTTTGCCAGTATAATTAATTGTTTAGTCATACAGTTCTGTTAGTTAACAGAAGAATAACTGTATTGTTAATCACATAATTACAATTCTAAAAACATTAGATATATAAATTATAATTCTACGGGTTTTTAAATATTGAAATTTTGTTAGAGTTGAAGAAAGTTTCAATATATTTGCTATAAGATATTATGTTGCGGTCAATATTGACCGCATTTACCAGTATATACTACTAAATTGCTAATAAATAATTATTACGCTCTGGATATGATACAGGTTTACGGCATTTTGTACTTTCGTGTGTTTACTGACCATTAAATATCTGTTCATGTTTTTTATGTTGTGCTATAATAGTACCTGTATCACGAGAAGAATATGACAATTAAATCTAACTGTTATATTTCAATTAATCCTTGAAATTTGAACTATCGTTCAAAAACCTGTGTACAAACATACACAGGATGCATGCTGACCTACTGATATAATTAAACGTAAGATGGATACATGTGTTTTGACTACTGCGAGTGAATTGGTTAACTTGCCGAACAAGTGAATTATGAAATTTAGTGCTAATGATTGAAATTAATTCAGTAAACTCGCAAAATTTGACTCGCGATGACTTACATTTAATAAATATGTAAGTTTCAATAGCGTCGAATATTTAAGTGTTTTTTTATTTACTCGTTCGTATTTACATTTCCAAAATTCGTTTAAAAATCTGTTGAATAATAAAAATCAAAATTACATTCAGCAATAGTGCCGAAACTTCTTATAATCATCTTGTAACATCTTAACCCGAGAGTTCACAGTATTTCATCATAAAGCCAACGCGAATCTAATTCAAATACTGTAATGGCTGTGACTATTACATGTTTGGTGCGATTGTTTCGTTTAAGTTTTCACATGTACGTGATGTGTATAGGCCTGTTGTCCGAGTGATGTCACTAGATATTTATTGTGTTGCAATGCGTGTTAAGCATATGTTTAAACAGTGTGATAATGATTGCTCTAAGATAACGAATAAGGCAGTTTCTATACTAAACATATATATATATGTTTATCCTTGTAATTAAACAACATGAAGTTATTGAGTATCGCAACAGAGTAGAACAGAAATCCTATGCGTATTAGTTTTTGTATTTTGAAAGTATATGTTATTATTTGACAGTATGCAGTAATAATATTATGATAAACAAATTCAGACAATAAAATAATTGATGTAATAAAAGTAAATAAGTCAGCGTGTAGCACTCAAAACACAGGACATGGTGAATTAATAATTATCATATAATAGAATTATATTAAAATCTTTATGCAATCATGTTGCCCGGAATAGGACAAAGGTCGCACCGCGATGGTTATTTATGCATGAAATTATTGTATTCATACAGTTATTCAAAAATATTTGTCCGTTACAAGCAGTCCTGATAATGCAAGTCCAGCGCAGACCTTGTCCGCGACCTGGATTCGCGTCACTCAAAAAAATTTATCAACGACCCCGACCCGCCAAAAAGTTGTGCGATCGTCTAACTGGTTTCATTCAATCATCTGCGTATATAGACATTTTTCACACGAATGTTATAATAGGGCTGATAAACTCGACTAAAACCTTCCAAGTGGCCCAAGGTCGTGATGATTTAAACGGACGAAAGTCTAGAAGTTAAAAAAATATGACAATCTTTAGCGCCAGATAAATAATTAATTATACTAACATGAATGTTGATGGATATGTGATAATGAGTAGCAAGTATGATATGATTCAATATGATTGTAGTGATCTATGATGTAAGGCCAAGTAAATTTAAAAATAATTCAGTAAACAGAGATGTTTAGAAGTATATATCTATTTTGAGTATAATTAGGTATGAGTTGCAATTATATGCTTAGATTTCTCAATCGACTTTCATTTTCCAATCAAAATAAAAGTGTTCATTGAACTATTGTCTAATCTTGTTACTAAAGCTAAAAACTAAAATACACTATTTTTTTATTAAAAATAAATTACATAATTAGATTATCTTTAAATCTCTTTGTATCATATAACAACCTGCTGCGATTTCTTTTTATCAATGGTTTACATTGTTGGCCAATCAGTTTCACTCATATTTAATCAAGTATACAATGTTTTTGTTTAATTATCTTGAATTTATAAATATATCACAATAATAATAACATATGTAATTGGAACTCTATACCAAGGAATACCTTAAAAGTACATGTTTTACTACTCTTGAAACTCTGAAAAGACAACTATGGAGAAAAAACAGTTTTATTTTACGAGTAAATCTAGATTAATATAAAATAATGTAAAAATTACGCATTTTCTAACAATTATTTTAATTCAGGAGGACTTTGTGAGACAAGAAGGATATCCCGTTGAAAGACATACGGTAATAACAAGTGATGGCTACAATCTTACGTTGCATCGTATACCATACAGCAAATTTCAAGATCCAACTATTAAAAGGCCAGTAATTATTGTTCAACATGGTATCCTATGCAGTTCGACGGATTGGGTTATCTCTGGACGTAATGGTAGTTTGGGTATGTAGATTAAAAAAAAATTATTCTTAATAAACAATGCCCAACAATTTACTTAACTTGTGTTTTGTTCGACGAATCAGGTTTCATATTATCAGACGCTGGATACGATGTTTGGTTAACCAATACAAGAGGAAATTCTTATTCAAGAAATCATTTAACTTTAAATCCTGCTCAAGAACCTGAAAAATTTTGGGATTTCAGGTGAGCCTTCGAGATAAAACCGTCATAATTTTTTCTTTTTGTATTTTCTTATTTTTCAGCTGGCATGAAATGGGAACTATCGATCTACCAAATATGATCGATTATATTTTGGAAGTAACTGGGGAACCAGATGTCGGTTACGTTGGTCATTCGATGGGTACCACTATGTTTTATGTAATGTGTTCGGAAAAACCAGAATACGCAAAAAAGGTCCGATCAATGGCATCTTTAGCACCAATAGCTTTCTTGAATCACGTCAAAAGTCCTATCATGGCTTTCTTAGCATCTGTTGCAGATCCTTTAGCGGTTAGCAGATTCAACATACTTCATACTATGATGTCGTTGTAAATTTTTCTACAGCAATTTAACTTCAATAATTTTGTTTTAATTTGTAGTGGCTGTGTGGTGTTTTAGGATACTATGAGTTTCGACCAAACGGCAAATTAATGTTGTTTGCTGGTAAAAGTTTTTGCGAATCCAGTTTTGCGCCTCGGGGGATTTGTGATAACCTATTGTTCCTTTTTGCTGGTTATGATTCTAAACGATTAACTAACGTGAGTTTAATAATTCATCCAACTCTATAAACAATATGACAACAGAACTAATATTGATTGAATTATTGAATGACTGATGAGATGAACGTCAACTTATTAATTTTAAACTGGTTCATCTCGATTCAAATTGATAAAATTATGGCATTTATTTACTTTTATAGATAAAAATGTATTTATTTTTTGAAAAATTCCGCTCCTGAACTTTATGGAGACATTTGAAGATTCTTTGTTTTGTAAAAGATATGAACTTGACCTTTAGAATATTTCTTCTCGTTTAAAATAAATTATAATATTACTTACACAGATAACTACAAACTATTGACTACATAAACGCCTTATAAATCAAATACTCAATAACTACAAAATAAAATAAATCTGAATTAGATTGTTGATATTTGGACTAGTGGATTTTGACAAAGTTAGAGTAATATTTAATGTATGTTTACAATTAACTAGACAACAAAAGATATTATTGGAACAATTTAATATTGTTGTAACTTGTATGTGGTACATTTCAGAATGTTCTACCTGTCATATTAGCACATACCCCGGCGGGAGCTTCAGCACGTCAACTCACACATTATGCACAACTGATGAAACGCGGTAAGTTACAATATTATTTTAAATTGTGCAATTTTATGAATTGTTAAATTTCTTTGAAGATCGGTGGTTTGGAATGTATAATTATAACAAACAAAAAAATTTAGACATTTATGGGCAAGTGGAACCTTTAGCATATGATCTGAACAAAGTAACCATGCCAGTAGCATTGTATTACGCTTCAAATGATTGGATGTCTACAGTAGAGGTAATTTTTCTAAAAATGACAATGTATATGTTATTAAAATAAAATTATGCTAGATCACGTTATATTTCCAATTAGTTACTCATTAAAAAATTGTTTTTTTTTCAAGGACGTTGATGTTCTTGCGAACTTGTTACCTAATCTCAAAGAAAAAAGATTAATGCCTTATCCGGAATTTAATCACTTGGACTTTTTATGGGCCACTGGTATAAAAATGATTGTTTACGATGATTTAATTAGGTTTATGAAGATTCATGACCGAAAATATTTACATGTTATTGAAAACTCCGAAGAAATAGACAAAAATGTAGTTTCTAATGAAAGTAATAAATTTGAATTTGAGTAATTTACATCGATCAATCTACAAGATCATTATCAAATTAATTTTAAAATTTGCCATTTTTTTTTTTTTAGAATTATTACATTAGTTTTATAATGTAATATTTTTTAAGTATAGAAGTTAAGTTAATTTTTATTTATATAATGAACCTTCTTTCCTATATAATCTTTAATTGCCAAATGTATTTATATTATGTTTTTTGTGTCATAATACATTTTTCAAAACGGTTATAGGATTTTAAAGCGAAGAAAATTTGTAAAAATTTATTCATTAGCTTTAATTTGTAATCAATTTCTAGTGTAATTGTGTAACTGTTCAATATTTTCCCTGAATAATGGTTATTTTGGATTTTGTAATTGTTATGTAAAAATTATAAACATATTTACTGTCGTGGTGTTTTATAAATGAGTTTATATTTAGTACTTCGAAAAAATTTGTATTTTATAATTTTCAAAGGATTTATTGCTTAAGGTATTATATTAGCAAACAATAATGTAAATATACTATTTTATTAAAACACTTTTTAAAGTTAAACAAAAAAATAGATTATATAAAATGTACTATAAGTATGTACTACGAAGTACATAGTTATACATTATATCTTAGACTAGAAACAAAAAAAAAAATGATAACACAAATAGAAACAAAAATACAAAAAAATGTAACTAAAATATTACAATTGTCTTTTTAATTATACATAAATGTTTAGTTGTCTTTTTTATGAAGATAACATCTAACGAAAAAGAGATCTTTGCTATAAACTAGATTTAATTTACGTGTATATAGAGCTATAATAGTGTTAACAATTTTATTCATATAAAAAATGAAACAACATTGATGCATCATAGTTTTCATACTTTTTATTTATAAAATATTATATATACAGCATACACAACAGTTGGGTTAAAATCCGAAATCCAATAACTTGGTATTAAGTTGATATCAGGATTTTTCTAGTTTAACAAGAAGTTTACCGTCGAAAACTCTGAAACCCTCTCTGGTGGCCACGAATTTATTGACAGCATTCTTTGTCAACTTTGTGTGTCTTACGTCTAAATACGTAAGACCTTCACATTTGGCTAAATGCTTCAAGGACACTTCAGTAATTCCAGTGCACCCAGAGAGTTGCAATGTTGACAAACCACTAATTTGTGTAAGAGTCTCTACACCCTCATCGGTAATGGGATAGCATTGAGACAAGTCTAACATGGAAAGGTTCGGTAATACTTTTACGATGGTTTTTAATCCAGCATCCGTAATATAACCGCCGGCAAGTTTCAATGATTTAAGATTGGACAAACGACAAGTCAGATCGACTAAGCCAGGCCGATGGTCTAGTGGAGGCGATAAGATATACTGTAGAGCTGCATCATCAAGCGCAGGAACAAAACTCAGATTTAACGACGTCAACATAGGACATACACACGAACGTAAACAAGTAACGGTTGATAAAGGACAGCCTTGCAGAGATAGAGCTTTGCTCTGTGGAAGTCTGACAAGAAGCCACAATAGCTGTTCTTTTGTTATTTTACACCAATCTAATATCAATACTTTTGGCTGTCGAACCATTATGTCTAAAAAAAAAAACAAAAACTTTTAAATGATTGATTTTAAACATATTGATTGTAATTTAATTAGTTACAAATATACTGGTAAAATGNCTGTTCTTTTGTTATTTTACACCAATCTAATATCAATACTTTTGGCTGTCGAACCATTATGTCTAAAAAAAAAACAAAAACTTTTAAATGATTGATTTTAAACATATTGATTGTAATTTAATTAGTTACAAATATACTGGTAAAATGATAGTGATTATATATTCAGAGCCATTATTAAAAGGGACTAGCAAGTTCTAGGCTTTGGGACTTACGTTTGTGGGAAAAATACGCAAATTATTTTTACCCTAGAACTCCCAAATTTTAAGGACGGCATTGAGATAAATATATTACAGAACAACCAGAAGGGAAAGTAATTTGAATTGAAATCGGTTCTTATGGGGTAGGAAAAAAGCATGTCGTCTATGTCAATCAATTAAACGTGCTGCTACTTAGTGGAAAATTATTATTTTTCATTTTATGGTGTATCTCCCGGCTTATTTAATTTATCAACTAATTATCAGTCCCATATTCACTACTAAATAATAATAATATGTAAATATGCTTTACTTCTATCATCTTATTATTTGAATAGTAACTTTTCAAACTATAAAATAAACATGACAATTTTTTATTTTTACAAATGCTATAAAAATTTAACTACAAAACACAAGAAAAATGATTTTGGCAATATGTATACTTGAAATCTTCTATGAAAATATTTATCTTGAAATCTTTTTGTACATTTTTCGTAAATAAAAAACAAAATTATTTTTAATGATATTTTCATGATACATTTCTAAAGTATAATAATAACAAAAATAATAAAAGTAACAAAAAATATTTAGTAGATCAAAAGTTGATTTGTTAAAATATCGTGGACAACTATGTATATCTGCTATTTTTCCACAACATTTCTGTTAATTACAAATTAAAAATGTACCCATAAACCACATAAAATTTAAAAGTATGAGAAATATCTAATTTTTGGTATAACTGTAAATTTAAAATATGGTAAACCAGCCTTTGACCGAGCCTCGAGTTTCCCTTATTGTTGTTCGATGATTATACTTACATTTGACAAGCTTAGACGTGATGACAGTCTCAGTGAGATCCATTCGATTCCAGAGACTCGGATTAATCGTTGCCGTGTACCAGTCTTTACAAACTAGAGAACATTGTTTAAGATCATCAGCGGACAGAAATTTGAACACGGGAACTAAAGCAGCTGCTCGATTTTTAGGATCTTTGTTAAGTTCATCAGATTCGAGTTTGGGTACTGGCCGAACGACGTACTTGGGCATATGATTACACTTTTTTGAATTCGAAAGGATTTCATCAATCGGCATGTCAATGTTTTGCGTCACATTTGGTTCATTACTTTTTATTTCTTCTTCGATTTTAATATTAGCCGGCAAGGGCCCTAACATTTCTCTCGTTTCCGGAATGTACTCGGACTAAATAAGAAATAATAGAATACGAATAAATGAAATTTAAAAAGATACCAGGTTATCAATTATCTACCATATGAATTGGTGACATTTTCTCACGTTTCACTGTAAAACTAGAATCGGCAACTATTTTTGTCGGTGAACCAAATATGCGTTCGCCTTCGGAAGTATTTTCTTGTTTGATTGATTGATTGAAAGCTTCCATTAAGTTCAATTCCGGCTTTATAAAATAACTTAATGAAAATTAAGTTATTTGAAAATTAAATAAATATTATAATACCTCTAATTTGATTTGCTTGCATAATTGATTATCCAAACTATCAAATTTTCCACTAGTACCAGGTTCACTTGATGTTGATGACGAGGAAAGGGTTTTTTCAGCTAAATTTCTTCTCTAATTAGTAAAAGAAATAAGTTGAATAAGTTAGACTATTTTATCACGAGAAAAAATATAATTACTATCTAATAATAAATGTTTTTTGACATGAGTAAAAAAATAACTTACAAATTTTTTGTGAGGCGTTTTATTTTCAATGTCACTTTTGTCATTCTCTGGCGTGCCCTGTCGTTTAGCATCCTACAAAACAAATTTGAATCGATGGTAGCTTTAACGATTGAAATAAGCTGTTTTTAAGTATATAATTATTTAAAGTAATAATTCTAAAATTAAAAGTAATTGTTGAAAGACAATTATGGGAACAAATTAGGTTATACTTGATAACAATTTATACAAAAGTGAGTTATCACGATTTTTTTTTAAAAAGTTGCTCGTGATTATTATAATTATTTAATGGTATCTTAATGAATAATAATTTATAGAATATTTATTTTCAATTCTTCATTGTATCCACAAAAACATTTTAAAACTGATAACCATACGAATAATTTAACATGCTTAAATAATATCTTAACATTCCATTCATTTCATTAACCAAAATTTTATATATTATTTAAGGATACTTAGTATAAAAAAAGACTTTTTATATATATTGAAAAGTTAACAATTAAATTCTTTATTGCCTGTTTTATATGTTAATAATAACTTGATAACATTATATATTTATCTGGCAAAGTATTTCAAATAAAATTAGTTTTTGGCCAGGCACCTAATGAAGGGACCGTTGAAAATTAAATTACCGATCTTTAGCCAAAGTAACATAAAGTTTCAAACATGGTCCTACTTTCCATCTTTTATATTCTATTGCTTTTCATTTTTTCAAAGCTATCCTCTCTAATGCATGGTTAAGAAAGTGGTATTCTCTTCTTCCTAATTTTGCCTAATGGCCTAGTGCCAAATTTCCTATTGTTTCACCAATTAAACCATCCACACAAATTTATTATTTCCTTTTCCCTTTAACGGTTTGGGTAATCTCTTATCCGCTTTCGCTTTCAAATTAGACCTGAACTCAGTTCCTTACTATTATTTACATGTCGAAGAAGTTATTGGCGACTATCGGCATAATGTACTTTCCTTACCTTCCTACGCTTCTAACAAGTTCTTCTATTTAAATTTTTAGCATTCCATGATATTCATAGTCCTAATTTTAATTATATATTTAATTGTCGTTGAATTCCTATTATTTCTAAAATAATCTCCTTCCTGTTGAATGTTGTTTGTACTATTTAGATTTACTATTGAAGTATTTTCTTAATTTACTTTTGTATTTTTAGGTAATTTATCAATTTATCCTTCGATAATATTCTTTTGTTTTAGTTCTCTTATATTACATTTATTTCTATAATTGTTAGTATTTTAAATATTTTTATTATTATTTTATTGTCATGTCGTAATGTTTTAATAATTCATAACCTATAATAATTTATTTAGTATATGATGGACAAATTAGGTAAAATTTTAAGTAATAGGGTATTGAAAATAAAATTTTATCAACATAAGAAATATGTGTACAAGAAATATTTAAATTTTATTATAAAAAATTGAATATATATATATATATTTATTAAAGTTAGTACTATAAAATTGATGGATTTTTGAACAAAATTTTACTCTATAGGTGTCGGTAATATAATACGATTTTTTGTAGCTTTAATTACATCGCATTAATTTATGTTAAAATTTCCATCGTTTTCGAACATTTTCACATAATTTTAAACGGGCGTTTCAATACGTTTTTTCTCTTGGGGTATTTTAACTTTTATAAAAGTTAAAACGTCTATTATACTCAAAGTTATTATTTGTCTTTAATTAGTTAAAAAAATTGACTACTAATTAAGTATTAAAACAAGGTATTTTTGTTAAATATAAAAATTACACAGTTAAAGTATATATTTATATAAATAAAATCCAAACTTTATTAAATCAATATGGTGTCCAATAAAAATTTAAAAATACATGTAACACCCATTCTACATAAAACGAACACACATTTGATTGTAAATACTTAAACTAACGGTAATACAAAGGAATCTTCAGTCTTTTTAAAATATGTTTATATAATTGAAAAATAAAATGTTTCAAAATTGAAAATTGAGATAATTAAAACTATGTTTTCATAAAAATACATGTAGTATTGAGTCTATTTTATTAAAGATTAACTCGACTCTTCATAAAATATATCATACTGGTATCACACTTAAATATTTTTAAATACAAAAAAAAAAAAAAAAAAACAAA